ATTGGGGGGGGGGGGCTATCCGTGGCTCACTTCCATCCCTATGCTATGGCCCAAGCCTCGCAGATGGCATCTCAGGCAATCAACTAAACCATCCCCTTCCCCCATTAGCTGTGGCCCTTTCCACGGGACCTTCAGCTTCCGTTTAAGCCCGGCCCCGTCTCAGGCCAGTCAGGATCCTGAGCTTCTTCGCTTTATATGGGCGTCCCTCGTGGTGGGCCCCTGACCTTTTGACCCTTCCAGTCCTGGCCCAGCATTGACCAGTTGAGTCCCTCAGTTGGGTCTATGCCTTCTGTCTGCACTCAGGGATTGGGATCCCCCATTCCTGGCTCAGGTGCTTCTTGAAGCATGCCTGGCCCCATGGGGTCACTCCCCCAGCAGGCTCAGGCACTCCCTGAAGCTTACCTGGCCTTCCCTGCTCCGATGGTATAGATAGCACACCCGATGGTGAGGGCTGGGATTAAGGTGCCCCTACTCACCTTTCACAGGGCTGGTAACTGGCCTGGCATTTCCTGGGGGCTCCCGCACCACTGAGAGCCCCACCAGGCTACCCACTCCCAGCAGGGTGCAGTTTTGGTCAGACCCAGAACCAGGAGCCTCCAAACTGTCCTCTTAAGCTCCTGCCCTTACCTCCAGGATGTTGCATACAGCCTTGCAGCCAGGCAATTTTACTGCCTGGCCTGCCAGCAGCAAACTGCTCTGTTTATATAGGTGGCCAGAGATTTAAAATGGCCACTGCAATCAAGCACCTGCTGGCTGCTTGGCTCAGCCCTTAAAGTGGCAGGCACCAACAATGTCCTGCCACAGTATGATGATCAGTAGGTAATTAAATGACAATAGCCTAGCCAGAGGAATTTACCATTACAAAACTCTACTCTACAAGTCTTTTTAGGCTAATCAAGTCAAGGAACTGATTCCTGGAACTGAGCACCCACCCTATTGACTATTTCTGCAACCCTTAACAATACCATTGTTAATGAATCAAAATCACAAACTGACTTCTGACTGCACTACTGGCAGGTGAGACCCTTGTGACAAACAGCTGTCAGGCACTACTCAAGACCCATGTGGGACAGCGACCTCCAGATTAGGCAGCCAAGATGATGTCGGGGGATCACACAAGTCTGCCAGAAAGGGATAAATGGCAGTGAAGCGTGACCCTCCGTGGTGCCCACTCATCCAGCAACTGACCTACTGAAGCAGAAGGACAAGCAGGCGACGCCCTTCTGGAGAAGACACCGCCTTGAAGAAAGCTGACCATCGACAGCCGACTTCAGGGCCTTGGACAGGTAGATATACTGACACCAGTGCTCTCAGAATCACTACAGCAGCTGCTATACACTAACTACATAGGTTTAAATGGCATGGGTTTGAATGAGTGAGTGCATGTGTGTATGTGTGTGCTAAGGTGCCCAGTACCCCTCGTAACTCAAAGTTTGCATTTATGATTTTATTGGTAACTTCACATCCTGTACAATAAATTAGAATTTATTATGATCCTGTGAGCTGGTCCATTGTAGCTGTGGCAGCAAAGATCATGCTGCCAGAGTGGAAGAGAATAATAAGTGCTGGGGCGGGTGCCCTGAGCACAAGTACTTACTGAAGAACCTGACGGGAGCCGGGGAGCAGGACACATGGAGCCTGGTTTATCAGTTCCTGCCAGTTCTGGTTGGCTGGGCGTGGGACAGGGAACACTCAAAAACCATGCCCCACAGCAACCGGAAGGAGAGGAGATGAAAGGGCAAGTGAGATGGAGATAGACTGGCAGACGCAGAGGGCACTCTGCAGAGGAAAACATCTATACTAAAAGAAGAATAGTAAACACCACCCCAGGAGGGGTAAAGGGACGAAAGCAAGGAACTTTCTCCCTTTGAGACTCAGAGGAGTCTCCACACTTACCTGAAGTAAAGGAGTCGAGAGAGGTGACCGACGGGACCCAGCAATGAGCAACCATCACAAAGCCGAGCCTGTGGTAGAAGAAGACATCAAAACCATGAGTGAGGGTATTGCAGGCAACAATGCTTGTGCAAAGAGATGCTCTGAGCCCAGCAGCCCTCTGAGACACACATCTATATTCACCAAAGAGTGGCCTGTCTATACCTAGCCAGTAACAGCCAACTTACTGAGCATATTTAGAAAGGATAACAGCCAAGTAGGGTAGGTAGCCTCCCTCCTTCTTTTTTCTTTATTATACCAAGTTATGGCAGGAAAGATTGGGTAGATAAGCTAGAGTAAAAAGAACCCTCCCATAAAACTTCAGCTGTAACACCCTAAATACGCTAGCTCCAGGGAGCTCTAAACCACCCATCACATGAGTAGAGAGTCACGTCGGGTAGGGACACTCTCACAGTAGCCAACAACAGCTCATGGCTCATGTTGCCTTTGTTGCCTGTTGCCTGTTGAGAGCAATGGGGCAGCTGGGCACAGATCTCCATGAAGGTGGCCCTGCTTATCTTGAAGTTCTGCTGCCCCTGCCTCCATCTGAGGTCCTGGGCACCAGCCACTGCTTTCGCCTCTGGTTCCAAAGCAGCAGCAGATCATCTGCAGGGAAGACCATTCTTTATGTCTCCCAGGTAGTGCATGTTACTTTCAGACTCACAGATCACTGGACAGAACTTGAGGAAGAGCCTTTCCAGTGCCTGGGTCATGCAGCCTTAAGCTTCCATGCCAAAGAGCTGCTCAAAGATGGTGGGACATGGGGACATGCAAATGAAGACTCCACCCTGTGAGGTGGAGAGAAGAGCCAGAGCCTTGAGGCACTGCTTGGCCAAAGACAGTCAGTAGAGAAGACACTAGGCATCCTTTGTCTATCTTAAGGTCCAGGTCATGGGTGGCTTGACCAATGATCTTGTCACTGAGGGGTGACTGGGGGACCAAGGGCTGGACAGATTCTGGAGCTGAATTGCCAAGTCCTGAAAGAAATCCTGGTGCAGTGTCCAGAGAGTACCAGAGTCAGGAGAATTGCCCCGGCAGACCAAATCAGAGCTGATGACTGGCCATGTGCAGTGTGGATGGATACGCATGCAACAGACTGCTGACCATGCTGAGCTTGACAACCCTGGGCTGCAAATGCCTTTGTCTTTGCACGCGCATTGCTGGGGGAAAGTAAGTCCTGAAATTGGAGCCAGGAAAGAGCACATGAGTAGCAGGTGTTTGGCACCAGAGAAGGAGGGCCTCCCATGGTTCAGTCCCACAGTTCTGTGGTTGAGGCATTAATCTAGGGACCCCCATTACCTGTTTCTCAGGACAGTGCTCCACCAGGCCACCAGTCAGGTACTAGGCAGGCCTTTCTCCAGTCCTCCCTTGATGCTGGCCCACAGCAAGGTGAGGCAGATGTGTGGGGTGAGGAGAAAGAGACTCAGCAGGAGGATGGGGTGGCTCACTGCACCAACTTCTCTGCTAGTGGGAAGGAGGAGATGGGTATTAATGCAAACCTGCGCCTCCCAATGAGGCAGAAACTCTCCCATTGCCCTCTATTCATTTCATCCAGTAACTATTAAACAGCAGGTGCAGTGGCTCAACCAAAAAGGATGGCTAGTGAGGGGCTTGCATAATGCCTGAGCTGTGGCTTGGTGACCATAGCCCTGTCCTGGGAGGCAGGTTCAAACCCCTCTGGGCAGGGGCACTAGAATCTGGGTTTCCTACTTTCTGAGGGCGTGCAGTAACCAGGATTGTAAAGGAAACCTATCCATCGAATGGGACATAATGGAAAATAGCAAACTCACTGAAGAATCAGTTTCTTGCCTGCTTAGCTGTGCCATGGGTAGATTGTTCAGAACTTTGTAAAGAAGAGTAATTAAGAAACATTCTTCTTCTCTTCAGGTTCACGTGTAGAATTAGGTAATAAAGACTGCCTGGCCAAAAAATACTGGGCCCCTCTGAATTTCAAATAATTATTTATTCACTATAATCAGCCAAAATTCCAGAAAACTTGAATGTTTCTCTGTGAATATGTAAAGAAAATTTTCAGTAATTAAATTAAAAAAAAAATTATTTGAAAAAAACTATTGAGATGGGTATTTCTCTATGAAACACTTCAGCTTTGATAAACATTTCCTAATTAAATAATAAAAAGTATCTAGTAGCTCTGTTCAACATATCTGCTTTATACTCCACTGAAAAAAAAGGACGGTATAAATATTGTGAGAAAAGGTTTAAATTACAGATAGACTCTGCTAGGCCAGACTGTCCTCTCCCATCAGAAGCACTCTCATTTTTCACATCTTTAATGATGGAAAATTTTAACATGAATACAGTAGTATGAGCGGGTGAATGTTCCTAATGGGGTTTCCCTCTGGACTCGTCTGCCACGACTTAGATGGGAAGAAAAAAGAGTGTATCAGTGATCTTATGGGGTTAGGAAACACTCCCATCACTCTGTTGTTAACTTTGAACAAGATGGCTTTATTTCTTTGCAAGAGGTTAGATGGCAACAACAGTCCCGCTAATTGCCTCATTAGCGGCGAGATTACAAGTTATAGATAAGAACTCAGTGCCCCCAAGTTTTTACAAATACTTTGTAACAAATATTGTCGCTCAGTAAACGGCCTCGTTAATCAGACACATTCTCCGTGTTCAAAAGGACTGTCCCATTAAGAGCAATAATGGTCACTCCGCTGCCTCTTTCGCCGTTGCTTCTAGTGCTGGAAAAGCTTTTAGGCTATCTTGGGCTTAGAGAAGCTCTTCCAGCCCACACATCTTCTAGGGGGGACCCTCTTCACAAGGGGTTCCCTTGCTGGGCTGTCCCATGAAGACCCAGCTTTACCACACTCACCAGAGATGCCATAATTCACTGGTACGTAGCCTGCCTTAATTTGAACAGTCAAGTCATTCCCAGCACTGTATTCTCGGTGTCCTTCCTGCTCATGGGCAGTCTCCCCATCCTCCCGGTCCTTCGAGACAGACTTCTCTCCGTACTTCTTCTTGTGCCTGAAGGCAAATTGTGAATCCCCCATCGCCACTTTTATCTTGGTCGTGGTGCGCTAATCACCCTGTCTTGCCCCCGGTATGTGATTCCCTTCCCTGGCGGGGGCATTGTCAGGTCACTCTCACCTGAAACTTCCTTAGTAAGAGGGCTCCCGCCTCAGCCCCTGTTACAAGTAGGTTCACATTTTACTTTGAAAATAAGAAGCAAAATTATAGAGGCCAGGCTTCTGATTCAAATTGCAGCATAAACACATTGTTTGGTTTCTATTGTGTGCTGTTTTGGGCTCTATAGTTTTAAAAGGTGTAGCAGAAAGCCCCCTTTTCCTCTTGCCTGCATTTGCTCTCCCCTCTTTGGATATGTTTCTCTTTTTCTACCTTTTCTTCCTTCCTCTCTCTTTCACTGTAAGATAAGGAATTGTGTTTTAAAATTTGTATGTGTGCATTTTGTATCTCCCCTTGTATTTTGGTATTTTTATCTATTTGTGTGCCATGGCATTTGTAGCTTATATTTTATACTCCTCACCTTTCAACTTTCAACTGAATGTGTTTAGTTTCATAAGTAAATTATACAGTGTAACAATGTTAACAAGGGCAGGAATCAAACTGTCCTTCCCTGTATCAGGCTGGCCTCTGAAAGAGTGAGTGAATCAGTGATTGAATGTATAACGTGATTGAATGTGTAACATGGAAGCAGGCAGCAATTAACACCTGGGAAGCTGCAGATCAACCAACAGAAGAACTCAATAGAAGACAATGTAACAACCGGGAAATCTCTAAACGTCACTGATCAAGGGCCAGAAGCCCTGGCCTGAGTTAATCAATGCCAGGGACCAACTTTTGGGCTGAGTATCTCCAGATCAACCGCTCCCAGAGCCCTATTCTAAATTCATCAATGGACCCCCAACCCTGCAC